AATAAATAAATAAATAAATAAATAAATAAAAATTTAAAAAGAAACTGCTCCTCATAGCCGAGTGGTCCAGCAGGATGATTTACATCCTGGTCCCAAACATGGGCTTGCAGGAGATACATGGTGGCAGTCGCACGGAGCTGCCCAGGACAAGGGGCTAGGAGTAGGCCAGCTCGTCATGCCTGGACTTGTTGGTCTGGTAGGCGGCCAGCATCAAGGGCTTGTTCTCATGTGGGAGGCTCTTGAACACCCACAAATGCAAGAAGTTCTCATCCCCAGTGTCCACCTTGATGAAGTAGTTGATCCCAGCCACCGGCTGGCTCCTGAAGGACATGGCCTTGAAAACTGAGTACTTCTGGTTTTCCTTCTCTTCAAGCTGGGCCCTCACCGCACCCATGAGCTCCTGCATCTCCACCGTGACGGGCTGCGTGGTGGAAGGCGCCCCACACATCATCCTGGCGGGGAATTTAGGGAGTCTTCAGGTTCACTGCAGTCCTGAAGGGCCTACTCTTATGCTCGTTGGCCTCGTGATCAAACATGTAGTTTTTAGTCACATTGAAGGTATATTTCAAGTTCTTTGTAGCCACACGTAGCTGGTGACTATTATCAGCTAACGCAGATGTACAACATATTCATCATCACAGAAAGGTCTGTTGGACAGTGCTAAGATTGTTCCTATTTGTTCAATCTTCTCTATTTTACGTCTCTTTCCTCTTCTCTCTCCCCACTCACATCAAATGTGCATTGAATTTTATCAGTTCTGCTTCTTTTTCCTTTGAGAGGTCTTTTTTAAAAATCATTATTTTTGCCCGGGGGTGACATTCAGCCGGCCGTAGGTGCACTGGCCCTTCCACCCTAGAACTATGGCCCAGTTCGTCTGAAACCTCGCCGAGAAGGCCCCGGCGCTAGTGACTGCTGCTGTGACTTACTCGAAGCCTCGATTGGCCACATTTTGGCATTATGCCAAGGTTGAGTTGGTTCCTCCAACCCCTGCTGAGATCCCTGCAGCTATTCAGAGCCTGAAAAAAATAGTCCGTAGTGCTCAAACTGGTAGCTTCAAACAGCTCACAATAAAGGAAGCTGTGCTGAAT